ATGCATCAGCTCAAAGTCTTTTGGGAGCCTGCACTGATGTTTTTTTTTAATAACTAAAATGTTTTTCTCTACTGCATGAATTCAGCAGTGTATTAACATAGGATGGCTTATAAAAGACTAGCAGATTAGGCCTGCCATTGATAGGGCAAAGTCATTTTGCATAGATTACACTTATAGGAAAGTTCAAGGAATGAAATATATGTAATAGAATTTTTTATTGCTGTGCTTGCAAAAGGGAAGTAAAGGAACAGTTTTAAATTTGTAAGATTTCAACTTCAAACATTTTTCATTTTATCAAATTATTACCATACATAGTAAATTTGAATCAGAAATTCATAAAACTTCCATTGCTCTTTCTATAACTAATTTGAATTATTTTGTGATTTGTAACGGTAAAAATTTTCTTTGCACTACAGACACACCTGAACAGGCGACTCGATTTTAATTTTGTTACCACATATTTTTTTTGAACTCTAATCTGATGGAAAAACAAAAATAATTATTTAAACCAGTGTTTCTCAAAGTGGTCCGCGGATCCACACTGAGAGAGCTGCTACCAGGTTGCTCCAATTGGTTTACTTACCAACTCTGCAGCCTCTCAGCTCCCATTGGCTGGGGTTCGCTGTTTGAGAAGCACTGATTTAAACCTTTCACCTAGCATATTCAGGTGTAAAAAGAAGTGCATTCAGCTAATTTAAGTGGCAGGATTGTTTGTGCAATATTTGGTATCTATAGGTAATCACAAAGTAGGACTTTGTGGATTTGTGCAAAATAAACTTCAAAATATATAGTAGATTGTAGCATGTCTCTGTATTTATTTATAGATAAAAGCATTTGGTTAAAAAACATCAACAGAAAAGTCCATTATGTCACATTGTTATCTCCCAAGCCACTGATTGGCAGTTCAATAAACTATCTAATCTAGTGCTTTGCATTTTATTTCTTTTCAAAAAGTTACACAAATAGGTCAAGTTTCGGAGCCCCCACCTTGAGTCCCTTTAATGCCTCAAGACACAAGTCAAACAGTCTCTTCCAAATAAACAGTTTCAGGCCTGTCTTTACTACAAGATTCAGGCAAGCATGTGCCCATTGACTTGTGTGTGTAAATCTCTAAAAAGGCAATTTGTACAAGAAAATTGCTTGCTTTCTATAACTATACAGCAGCAATCATTAACGCTATGTTGGTATATTACACATACACACAGAGGATTTGGCACTAGGCATCTAGTCTGGAAAGAAGCCGATCTCTGGGAGGTTCATGCTATTAATTTGGAAGTGTTTTTCAAAGAATGAGATGCCCAGGCTTTGACACAAGACACGTTAATCATTCAAGCTCACAATTCTAAAACTGGATTCCTGATCCAGCAGGTGTCATTTAGCAATGTTATCTATAAATTCACCCTCATCATCTAAGTCAAAAGAACACAAACTGAAGTGCAGTATTTGTTTTGAGGATTTTGGTTCCCTAAATCTACTAGAGGGGGAAGGAGGTAAAACATAACAGGCCAGAATAGCTCAGAATTCTATTCCCAGCAACTCCCCATATGACAGTAGGCAAGTCATTCTCTATTCCTGATATTCCCAGTATGTAAAATGGAGGAGATAATGGCCATCTCAACAGGGGTGGGGGGAATCAGTCAAAAGTTTGTACAGCAATAAGGACTTACCCAACTTCTACACAAGTCAGTGGGAATCTGTAATGGGAAATAGACTGGGCTTTATAAAAATTAATTACACTAGAGCCTGGTCTACACTAGTCAGTTAAGTCAAAGATAGCCGCATTAGGTTGATTTTTATAAACAATGAGTCTACGCCACCAAGCCTGTTCCACCGACTTTAAGGAAGGGATGCTAAAATTAGTGTAACTTGTTAACCATGTAACTTCTGAAAATGTCAGTGGTTACACATTGGGCGGCAGCCAGCTAGCCAGGAGCTGGTTTTTAAGCTGGATTCTCGCATGTAACCAGCTCCACCCTGTGCTACTGCTTCTGATACGTAGGCAGCAGGTGGCTCCTGGGACCAAGACTAGGAACCACGTGCAGCGGTTTGGGTAACTGATAAGCTCATGCTCATCAATTACCTGTTTACACAGCTACATTTTTATATTCCTACTTTAAGGGCAGTTCAAGTCAATTTCTGTACTTTTCCTTGCTGAGAGGAGTAATGCTAAATGTGACCTTGCATTGTCAACATTGTGATAGTGTATTTACAGGGAAATTACACTGGGTTAGTTGACATGATTTAAAATGCACCCGATTTTGCATTGTAAAGATCAAACATTCTCTAGCCCCGTGGTCACCAACAGGTCGATCGCGAGCTACTGGTTGATCTCAAGGCCTCGACCAGTCGCTTGCGAGGCATCCTGTCCGCCCCGCCCCCATTTCCCTCCCACCCCCCAGAAGCCCCACTACTTACCTCAAGAGAAAACAGAGGTAGTGC